ACCTCATCGCTCTCTACAACTCCCTGAAAGGAGGTTGTAGCGAGGTGGGGGTCGGTCTCTTCTCCCAAGTAACAAGCGATAGGACGAGAGGAAATGGCCTCAAGTTGCACCAGGGGAGGTTTAGATTGGACATGAGGAAAAATTTCTTTACTGAAAGAGTGGTTAAACATTGGAACAGGCTGCCCAGGGAAGTGGTGGAGTCCCCATCCCTGGAGGTATTTAAAAGACATGTAGATGAGGCGCTTAGGGACATGGTTTGGTGGGCAGGGGGGTGTTGGGTTGACGGTTGGACTTGATGTTCTTAGAGGTCTTTTCCAACCTTAATGACTCTATGGTTCTATGATTTCCTCCTGCCTGGAGCAGCTATTATCCATCCCTTCTGGAAAAGCGCAGCAGGCCAGAAAGACGCAACCCAAAGGCCCCCACAGCTGGATCACACTGCATTAAGGACTCGCCCTCCCATCCAAGTCAATGGGACTTGTTTAATTAAGACAACGTGGCACAAATCCAGGGCATACATATCACAGCAGTTTGAATTCATCCTGTCTGGAGGCCACCAGTGAGCAGTACCGGGGAAAAAATGTCCTCCATCAGATCGATTCATTAATTCAAGTAGCGAATGCCTGTTAGCGGGTCTGTGTACATCACACAGAACGTCCAGTGCTAACGATAAATGTGTTTAAAACTAGAGTAGTGTATAAAATAATACCTGTGAAAACAATTTCCAATTCTGACAGGATTTTTTTTTTTAATTTTTTGATTTAGAAAACGTCACTTATTTTTCCAGCATAAGGAAAAGCCTTTATGAAGACTTTCTGAGGGATAATGCTTCATGAAAGTATCATTTTTGCAATTATTTCTCTTACCATGCTCAAAATCCTAACATTAAAGACATTACTTGATCTTCTTATACACATGAAAAGGCTGATAAATGTATGAAGAAATCATCCAGTTAGGTCATTATGAAAGGAGTTTGCTAAATTTTTTGAGCAATGGAATTACAACATTTCTTATCTTTAATGGAAGTAGAGCACGGGGAGTAATTGACCATCAGTTGTCCTATGAGAGCTCTTTAGCAGTCGCTTTGGGGCAAAAAGCATAATAAAGAAAATATTCTAAAAATCTTGGAGTCAGGCAGCTTAAAGCTCTTTTCAATTTCTCTCTCTTGTCTTAAAATGTAACGAAGGTACAGACAAACCTATTCGTTTTATAAACCTATTCGTTTACCTCCTGCTCTCTACTTACTTTACACTGTCCATCATAGGTTTGTAAGATCAAACAGCAAAAAACCCTCCAGGTCCCAGTTTCCCAGGTCTGGGCAAGCAAGATGTGGAGCGAGGCAGACTTAGAAGGGACTCTAACAAATCAAAACCCTTTACAAACTTGCCTGTGTTCCTAACGATGAGGGAATGCGCTACAGAAGAGGATTGAGAAAAGCATCTCCCACAGGCCCAGCTATGCTTCCCGAAACTCTCTTCAGCCCAGGTAGTTCCCAGCCGCACTGTTAAATCAGATCACTCTCTTCTTGTTCTAGCTCACGTACCCCGGCAAGATTAGGCTAAGGGCCATCATCTCGCCTATAGACGGCAAGCGCCAGGAAAATTTGATTTGAGATTAATCTACCCCTGAAGCGTGACCTGTTTTTCTCATCATCTCAGCTTACACCATTACTGCAAAAAAGGTACTTGTGGTCACTGAATGACGCACTAGGACTCAGCTTGAACACTGTTAGTGAGCTTGGTGATTTACTTGGAGAATGTCACGAGCTGACGAGACGCTTCAGAAAGATGCAGTTTCTTTATCATATATAGTCCTCGTCTATACCATCTGTTCAGTTCTTCATAGCTACAGACAGTTGCCATAGTTAAGGCAGCATTTACAAACATTATTTATTCGATAAATTGTTCCTAATCCTAAAACAGAGGAAATAACAGGTACCTCAAATACCTGTTAGGATACCTTGGTCAATTAATCTACGGTGCTAATAGCGTGTCTGTTTTGGGAGGGTGAGGAGATCGGGACAGTTAGCTCGGAAAAGAAACCATCATCCAGCCAGTTTGCAGCACGTTGTTCACTGCGCATCCAGCACACGTTGTTTACAGCTCCGAAATCACGGCAGGCAGCTGCCTCCACGGCCTCGCCCAAACCAGGGAGGGAAGAACCGGCCATCGGTCAGCCCCTGCGACATCACCACGTTCCCCGGCACGTTTTGGAAGAGCAGACAAGCTTCACGTCAGCGGAAATAACAGGGCCCTTTCTACAGTCGGTTTGCCTGCCAGCGCAAGGTGGATTTCCCCAATTGCAACGTACCTTCCAAACTTTTGATTTAAATGAGTTCAGAAGCCTGCAGTAAAGTTATCTGCAAATTTCTGGCCAACAAATAACCATGAAAAGCAATTCTACAGATCAAGTCTTTGAGAAATTATCTTCTTGGTTACTGCTCACCAAATCCAACTCAAACATATGATGTGGTATTTCTACGCTTTGAAAAATTTCTGAAACAATTCACTAAAGCACACTAGGAATTCCTAAAAGATTTCACTCAACAACAGTGAGAGTTCCTGTATCACACAATGAGTATAAAATGACTTCAATTTGTTATTTACTTTTATTTTACTTACCATTGAATGCTATGTAAACCTCAGTTTGATGGATTTCTCAGGCTTGGCTGTTTGGAATCACTGCCTAACATCAGATCTATCTCATAAAATTTCACCAAATAACTTTTAGAAGAGAGAAGGGAAAATAGCATCATACCTGAGACTGTGCGTTAATATTGGCTCCTTCCTTAACCAGAACTTTGACAACTTCAGCTTGTCCTGCTAAGGATGCAATGTGCAGGGCTGTATTCCCTTTCTGTTATAGGGAGGGAAAAAAATGAAAGACGTTACCCTTCTTTAGGAATGATTTCAGCCAGCAGTTCTTGATAACGTTCATTTTTCGTGTACAGTTTTACCTCACAGTTCCATGACGTTCCGTAAACATCACGGGATAGAACTGGTAGTAGCAGCCATGGAGATTTCTTGAGCGGTTGTCTAACATCCTAACGTAACTTTTGAGTGAAATTATGGAATGTGATTGGGGCATGGGACAAACTTCTAGGCAAAGTTTAGTACGGGCTAACAGGTTTTTTTTGTTCAGGTCCAGAGATCACGCCTCGTAGAAGGGAGCTGAAACCTAGGAGTCCTAGAACCCAAGCTGTGAATTTAAAATGAGATTTCCCAGTACAGAAGGGAGCTGAAACCTAGGAGTCCTAGAATTCAAGCTGTGAATCACATTTAAAATGAGATTTCCCAGTACGAGACCCAAAAGGAAGACCTGACTGTTAAGTAACAGAAAGCAACCTTTTAAACGCAGAAGATAAACCTTTTTTCCTCTTCTCTAATTGGCATAAAATTAAAATGCGTTATTTTTGAAAGGTGTCAATTTTAAGTTAAGAGATGCACTGCACAATAAAAATAATCTCTCACAAGACAGCAGCAGTGCAGTAGACCACTGCTTTTGTAAGAGCCTTGTATTTTTTCCAGGCCAATCTCTCATCTGGAGAACAATATTCAAATGGCTTTAATAAACAGACAAGGTTCGTAAAACCAGAACAAAACCCCAAAGTGCTGTCTAGAACCTGGTGGTTCTACCAACAGCTTCACCGAGGGGTGACTTAAAGATGCTTTTGAAGGAGGGAACTTCTGTTTTTCCATCAATGATGGAAATCACAAGTTCAGCAAGGAGCGCTCTGAGCTGAGGACCACGCGTTAACCCTGATGGAGATCCTGTGCGTCAGGTACCATAAAAAAATAAGAGAGCCGCAGGGACACAGTGGTGGCAACCGAATGCAACGGCTGAGCACAGCCAGCCAACCTAGACGCTAGGAGTCAAACGTTACATCGTTCAAGCCAACAAATCCGGCCCATCACAAGGAATTTACCACCCGTAGCCAAATAACATACTGATTGAATGTTTTGGACACACGCGTGTGCCTGCCTGTGGAAAGGCTGAAGGCGAAACGAATCATCACACAGGTGTTTTTTCCATTGAGCCCTTCAGCGAAAAGGCTCCGGATATGATACAGCCCATTACCAATTTTCACAGATTTGAAAAAATCTACTCTTTTGAGCTATATTCACTCTCTCTATAATGGGGACCAGTCATTGGAAATAATGAAAAATTTGGCATTGCTAAAACCTTTTAACGCTTCCCCTGTAAACAGACTGTACAAATAATAACCTTTCCCTCTTCATTTACTACCGATGAGCTGCAGCAAAGAATGCAGACTCGCAGGCCGTAATAGAAATAACATTTTAAATATCAGTGAGGTATTTATATTATTACGTACTTGAATCATTTTTTTTCTCAATTTCTCCCATGTATTTGACTTTTCCTTTTTGTGAATAAACTTACAGACATGCATGAATTACCTTAGTGGCAGAATCCACAGCCGACCCTCTTTCCAATAATTCTTGTACCAGTCCCACATGGCCTTCTTTTGCCGCCAGGTGCAGAGCATTGAGTCCATTCTGTAAGCACAAGGGCCATATCAATTACAAATATCAGCTCTGGAGATACACATTCCTACCTTACCCCTGTAGAAGAAGAAGATTAGTAGCTGGAATACTATTACATCTCTTAGCTGACTGTCTACATAAGTCAGATATTTTGGACTTGGCTAGTTAAGCCAAGGCACTGTGTGACAAACTTCTCCAATAACTTTTTTCTCATAGCAACAAAGACATCAAAACAAACCATGTTTTGCAAGGACCCATAAGAGATTCCTTCCTTTCTGATAGTTTCGCGTTTCCCCAGGCTACTACCTTGGGTATCTCCATGGAGCCCATTATTTCAAGATTTGAGTGCATATCTGCCTTCTCTTTACTGTAACTTTATTTAGCCCCACGGAGGTATTACCAACATAGAGAAATCGCAGGACTTAGCCAAATTTACAGAGGATGTGTCTATTCAATCAGGATTATTCCAGGCTGACGTAGCTCTCCTGAACCCTGGACTCTCCTCCCCTCCTCTGGGATAACTGGTATCGAACGGAAAGCCAAAAGCACAAGTAGACCAAAATGGTTGTCGATTACAAGTGGCTTGCAAGTTATATTGATCCTTGACTCAGTACCTCTGCTGGTTTCTGATGAGCAAGTCTTCACTAAACTTTGAGGTTTTGTAATCTCATTCAAAAAGGAAATTAATGAAATAAGAGCTAGGATTTTCAAAAAAAGCAACCTAAGAAAGTTAGCGTCTAAACCCTTTTCACGTTAAATAGGAGTAGGATACTTTATCTCGTACAAATTCCAGCCACGGAAACCGGGTCTTCCTCTTCCGACTATCCCTATTCCACCCAAGGGAAAAAAATAAAATGACAGTCTATTGTAACTGAATTGCCAACCTATTTTTCACAATCCTATGGTATTTTTCATGGTATGTCAGGCAGGTGACAGCAACAGATACTCCCATTGCCCTCAAGCATTCTCCTGTTTTCCATATTGCAAGCATCACAAGCGATACCCAGATATTTGAGTAACTTGCAGCAAGTTTAGCACTATGTAATTTTTATCACTCTACTTGTCTCAAAGCAGCCCGTAGTCATTTAAATTGCGAAATAAACAAGCAGCTTTCTGGTCTTTTATTCGTCCCTCCACAGAGGCAGTTCAAGCTTGTAATTCCCAGTAGGATTTTAAAGCACTTAGCACTTCACAGGAGGCATTTAATGGGAGTGGGTCCAATGGCTGCAGACGCAGCAATCCAAATGCATTTCTGAAGTAACTCCGTTCAATTCTACATTCACGTAAGCAGCACGGGCAGATTTTGTGGTCAAATTCAGAAGCGCAACTATGAGAAAAGCCAAGGAACTGAAGGAAGGCTACATTCACAAGCTGCCAAAAGAAGAAGAATACCCTTACACAGCCTGGTAGTTAGGAAATGTTAATGAGAAATGTGGTTTCAAATCCCATTATGCGGGTAAAGCAGCAGCAACCAGATCTTCCTTATTCCAGAGGAACGCTCTTACTGCTGAGCTGCAGAGCCCAGGGACGGCAGTAGTGCCATGCCCTGGATCAAGCGTAAATTCTTAGCCAAAATTACGTGGTTGAGGTTGACCATAATCATCAAGATGAGGAACACTGTACACGTCAGTGTATTTTTTGCAGGCTGAAAACATTTCAGAAAGCTCTGATCTTCCTTGTTTTTTTTTAATCTCAGCTGAGTACTCAATAACCATAATTACTACCTACAGCGGCTGAAAGCTTTGAAATAGTATTTTGTGGGGAAACACAGTGTTCTTCTCATTGTTTGAGAACAAAGACCTGTTCTCGTATCTAATCGCACAGATTCAGTCATCAACACTTTCCATGAGAGTATGAATGGTACCTTTGACTCGTTACAGTTGTACAAAGCTGATGTATCGCTATGGCATGTTATTAACCTTTTTCACTCTTTGCGAGCAGACTGAAGTCCACAAACAGCACTGAAACTGCAATTTTGCATGGCCCGCACGAATTATGCACCCGCGCACACGCCTCAATGCAAAAAGTTGAGGGCAAGCTTCTTTTTAGTTTACCACGTGCCAAAACAGGAGAAAGCAAGGCTCGTCCCAGTGCTTAATCAGTAGCAATCTCTTAAAATACCTGTACTCGTACCTCTAAGACACATATTTAATGATACCACATTAAGCAGCTGAAAGCTAATATTGTTGCAAAGATTATGTGAGTTTCTTTGCAACATATTGAATCGTAGAATGGTTTGGGCTGGAAGGGACCTCTGAAGGTCATCTAGTCCAACCCCCCTGCCGTGGGCAGCGACACCTTCAACTAGATCAGGTTGCTCAGAGGCTTTAAAACATAGCAAAATGAATACGTGAGGTCCAGTAAAAAGGTTACAGAAAGAAATTATAGCCTAAATACAGTTCCTACTGTACATATTCAAATTCTGTAATTCCTTAAATAAAGTAAGCCGGGGCAAGCAGCAGCAGAAGCAAGCACGGCACTCTAAATGCTGAGGGCCAGCGTGACTGAAGCCTTAAAGCGAGCTTTGTTCCTCCATAATCAGAACCAATGCCGTAATTATTTCCCAACCCACATGGCTGATCCCTGCTACTCATGACGACGGAAGCTCAGATTTAATCAGTGCAACTCCTCCATTCCTGTCAACTGGATTCTTGTATTTCAGAACAACAAAGGTTTCTGACACCTCCCTTTCTCTCTCCCATGCCTACCAAAAAGTTGGGGGAGCGGGGGAGATGAAATTAGTTGTCTGCTAAGCAAAACCGTACAGCATAGGGACTGCTCCTCCCCACGTATACCATACGTATACCATAACTACCTTTCTTTTAGAGGCTCTTTTGTAATTCTCTCATTAAAAAACATAATACTAAGCCTTCCAAGCTTGGTTCTTCAAGTGTTTCCCTGTGGAGCCCGATCCCCTCGGTTCTTTTTCTTCTCTACCACTGAGCTATAGGCATCAACATTTTGTATCCCGTAGAGTGCTACAAACGTGCACACATACCACTGCTGCTCACAGCACTTACTACAGTGTCACCCTACGTATTTTCACCACACCGGAAAAGCCCACAGATTTCTCGTACATCACAGAAATCACCAACCTTCCTAAGCCAAGTGAAAGTCAGTCACTTTTTTCCCCGTAAGACAGGCACTAAGTCGTACTGCTGTTGTCTGAAAATCACCCAAGGAAGTCCACGCTACTTCTGCCCTCGTATTCAGTCGCCTCATGGAGTGATCCTCATGGAATGGAAGTTCTTCAGCCGCTGCCCAGTTCGGCGTCAGTCCTGCTGTGCCATTTGCTCCTTCTGGGACGTCACCCAGATCGCTGATAACATCCAACAGCAATAATGGCTTATACTAGTCCTGCCTAACCCTGTTACGCCAAAGCAAAGCGACCCCACGGAAAGGCAACTTCTTGGCAGAGCATCAGATCAACCTATAGTTCAAAGAACATTTTAAATCAGCGGAGTCAGCCCTGCTACCAGAAGTGCTTCCCCTTCTCCTGTCCTCTCCTCCGCTCATTTCTATCCCCTTTCTGCAGATCAGGTCCCCCGGTCGTTCGGTGTGAGGCTGCGCACACGCTTCTGCCGGCGCAGGAGAGAGCACGGCGTGGAAGCACGACCACCAAGCCAGGGCAAGGCCAGGATCGCTTCTTCTGTAGCGGTATCGACTTATTAAAAAGACAAAATACAGCCCCAGCAGTTGTCTAGCATTACTGCAGCTTTCACTGGCGAACTGCACACCAAAGCTGCAACACGGGCACAGTGCGAGCTTTTACACCCTCCCCTCTGAGCTCAGCTGCGACAGGTATAGACGATAACCTGGTAGTCCTAGAAAGCTGTACTCACCTTCTGCTGCTGAGACTTAGCGAGAAGTACAAGGACCATAAAAATGTTTAGATGGGGGAAAGGAGGTGTTTGAAGGAAGTGGGGAAAAATTCTTTATACGGGTGAACATTTGCTTGTGTTACTTCAGTATATAATGGTCTTGGCACTAAAGAAAACAGCCTTTCTTAAATGTAATGATTCTTACTTCCCTGAAGTTTACTTCCGTTTGAAGGTATTCATTAAGTACTTACTGTCTTTAAGAACATCAGGAAGCAAGAACGTAGGTCAACAAAATTAACCCTCTTCTTTCCCTTACGCTAAGAGTCTGACCCCTTATAACCCCCATCGACTCCGATGGAAGTTGGGATGCAACACTTTCCAGGAAGATCTGCCAACATTTGAGTTTCTAATTACTCTTGCCTTTGCCACACAAGGTTAGAAAGGCATTTAAGCAACTCGCAGAAAAAAACATCACGAAAGTCAACAACCATAAACCAATACAAAACTTGATTTTTTTTAATGTTTCGACATTCTCTTGAAGCACGAAATGCAATGCACTTTTACCAAGTTCCTTCCACTGATGCTGTGTTCACAGGCTTACGCGTATTCTAACAGGCCAATAGCAAAGTGTAATGACACAATGAAAATCAAAGAGCTGTTGTGACTAACTCTGCATGGTGGTGCTAACTCCTTTACATGTTTTGCCAGAGTTAAGAAGGCATCTGCACTCACCAGTAGAGGCTGAGACTAAAAAGCAATATCATAGTCTTTGTTAAAGTCAAATACTTTCCTCCATCTCTTTAACAGATGTCAGTCTAAGGTTGCTGCAAATTCTCTCCTCTGAGTAAATCTCTTGGAGAAGTGAAACGTGCGTGTGGTCAACCTCTTTTCAAGAAGGATTTGGGAAAGGGCACATCAGAGAGCTGGGCACGGCCTTCTCAAGTCCGAAGGTTTGTTGACGTTTTTTTCCCCAAAAATATCACACAGAAATAAAGTGGACGGTTGAAAAAAAGAAAAATCATTTCAGATTACGAAAATCCTCCCTTTCTGTTGCTTTATAGCCTACGAATTCATGAAAATGAATTAACCTACTGAGTGACATCGACATGTGATACTGTCGACCTCATTATGACTACAGCGCTACTTCAATCTATAGTTAGCACTACTGGGAGTGCTAGCTGCTTTCCATTT